CTAGCATACACACGCCAATAGGTGGCAGTAAATAGCAGTATACATGCTAACACACAAGTCATAGGATCTCTCTCTAGTCACAACATTTTCTGTGAAGATAACGAGCTGCATCCTTTCCCATGAGAAAATCCTAACATGTTTGGGGGCATTTTATAGTGCTTTAGCACATCATCTGTATTCAAAACTACAGTGGTTTATATTGTTACTTGTTCTGTTTTTGTCTAATGCTTTTCTCACCCTCGTGTTTTGGGCTTCCAACCCAGCTTTAGATGGTCACTTAGGGGCTACATGTATATTATTTGCTACACAGGTTGCATAAAAGGGTTTTGCTTAAAAAATAGTATTATACATGATTGAAAGCAAAAAAAAAAAAAAGCAAAAGAGAACCAAAGAGATAAGCTGAGGGTTTTGGCGCCAAGAGACTAAAATGTTAAGCAAATGAATATACGCATGATTGCAAATGTTGTAAAAATTAATATCCATATAAATTTAGAAGGAAGATAACGGATGGGAATACTGGCCTAGATTTGACATATTACAGAGTGAGGAGTTTTGGGACATTATCTGTATATTACAGAAAGTAATTAAGGGATTTGATTAAGACACTATTACAGTGGAAATTCTTTCCCTTAAAAGCTGAAGTTGATTTATAGACACAGTAGCTCTGAAGAAGGACTGCTTTAATTCAAAACACACTGGGCTATAAAATAAAGACCATATGATGGATAAATCACATATAGCTTAGGACCAAGCTATTTACAGGTCTGCCCCTCCTATACATCCCCTCTACACTTCTGGATCATCAATGGGGCAGGTTTGGTGGGTCCTGGCAGAGATACATTGAACATTTCTGGTTAATGTTGCTTTCTGCATGGAAAGGCTTAGTTGTGTAGTGTCTACCATTATTGCTGAAGCAAGCCCTCTCTTCATTACAATTTAGGAAGAGCTCAAAATATGTTGATAATCTAAGCATCTTAAATGCTTTATCTGTTTTAATTGTTTTAAAAGGAGTTGCTTTATTGTTTTAATAATGATCTAAGGTTTGCTTTAATTGGAATTCTGTTGTTCTAATAGTTTTTCTGAAAGCCATCCTGTTAAGGGAGTGCAGAGCATACTGCAAATCAATCAATCAATCAATCAATCAATCAATCAATCTTAAGTGAAATCTGGATTTTCCTCACTTGTTTTGGTCTAGGTTGCACATTGCCTAGTAATCTAAAACTGACTTTAGTTTGTTTCTGTAAAATAATTCTTTATTGTTGAACATTTTGCTGTCTCCTGGATGTCTTTGCTAGATTATGAAATTAAGTGGAGGTTGGGGGCAAATACTTCATGAGCAAGTTGCTCCCGTGATCTTGCTTGAGGTTCAAAAGTGTGCCCAGAAGAGATTACAGGAAAAGTGGCTGCCACTATTTTCTAAACGCGAAGAATTGGGAACATGGAAAAAACCAAAGGTAATATTTTAACAATTCATATGGCACCATAGTGACATGTAGTTTGCCTTTGCGCTGAATTGTGCATACTACACTGATTACCTGAAAATCAATGATAATAAGCAGCATGCAAGATGGTACAGATGAGTTTGTATGCAGTTTTTCCTCTGGTAGATTCCTTAAGCAAGTACGCCTGTAAGCCACTGAAAGTGAAAGTGGCTTTTGAAGCTGGCCCTCTACACCTGGCAAGCATTCCAAAGTTTGTTGCGGGGAGGTAGAGACCTCGGTCATTGTAGGATTCCTTCCATCATCCACAGTCCCTCCCTCCCTGGAACACAAATGCAATCCAGTCCATGTGGAAGCTCACAGAATAATGCAGATTCTGAAGACAACAGACTGGATCTCTGACGCTTAGGCATGTCTGTTTCTCACATTGCAGCTGTTCCTCATCCTCCCACCTAGGGCATTGTCTTGCATCAAGAACAGTATTGATCTTTCTTCTGCACAATAGTGAAGTAGACGGAGTCTCTTCCTGGCTATCAGCCAGACCTTTCATTCAGTGTAGGGAAGAATTATTTACTCTGTGGTGCAATGAATCTACTGGATAGGAAGAAGCTTTTAACTTGGTATCACTTCAGAGAGGAAAACTGTTGAATCTGCAGAGTCTTCACTACACTGATTTTATGGGTGTAGAGTTGGGGGTTGACACAATGCTGGATTAAACCTGGCTTTGTTTTATGTTCTTTTTCATTTTTTCAAAATTTGTTCAGTGTATCAGATTACATTCCTGACTAGGAGAAATGATAGTTTGGGGAAAATGTATCAGTAAACATAAGGGCAGCTGTTTTTTTCAATGGTGGTCCATTCAGGCCCACATCATTTCAGGAAGCAATCTGTGTGATTTTTCCTCTGGCCTCAAATTTTAAGATAGCCAATGTGTTTGATTTTGACCATCCAGATGAAAAATGTAATCTTCTTTAGAGGAAGGTTAATCAATGCTAATCTTGGCAAGAGTTAGGATATTGTTAAAGAAACAATGGGGTACCCTCAAAATTGGTATTAATACGCATGTTAGTAATCAACACACTGTTTTGTCCTGTTTGCTTTCAGCCACATATGCAAGAGGCAGCAGAAGATATCTTAATTCAGAAAGAGGAAAAGCAAAAAGTACCATGGAAGGCAAGCTGTGTTTGTTTCTACTTGGGTCTTTGTGTATTATAAACCTCTAAACTATGCAACCGTTACATAAACAGGAGAATAAGCTTAGTTAGTGCTGAGCAAGTGCAGTCATTACTGCATACAAGATGCTGTAGTGGGTAGCATTGGATCATGTTAAATTAACAAAATTAATTCAATGCAAATGCCATGGTTTCTGTTATTATTGGAATGGGCACAATTGGAGTCAGAAACTAAAAAAAAATCTTACTTGTCTTTTTTTTTGTTTCTGGTTCCTGCGGCTACAAATATAGTTAACAAATCTATGAACAATACCTGATTAAATGCTGATTAAAGGTGCAAGCTTTAGATATATTATTTTGTGTGTAGGCTAGAACACTAACTCTTGAGAAATGTTTGTCTCTTGCAAAGATCTGTAAGCATCTGCTTCACTTCAGTACTTCTTGAGGCAGTTGTGGGTAACTGGCCAACATTACTTTTAATCCAGATCATCATTCTGTATATTATATACCATTGAAAAAAGATAATTGGGTTCTGGACTCCAGCACTACTGTACTTACTTTTTTTTTCAGACTTTCATGTCATTTAATTGCTTGCCATGGCTTAACACTTTAATTTAATGCAGAAAGTATGTTTTCTATACTTTTTATTTGGGAAACTGGAACAAACTATTCCTTTTTAGCATCTGGAAGATAATTTATTATGGAGAGTGATTAAATGCACTCATCAAAAAAGAATCTGAAATATGTAGCAAAATAGGCAGGATTAATCATATCTCTGGAGTCTGTTTCACTTACAACTACATTCTAACATGACGATCGTATCAATTGTTAAACATCTTAAAGCTTTGTAACATGACATCTCAGAGGAGTTCTGGCCTTTCTTTTCCTTTTTTCTTTCTCAAACAGCAGCAAACTCTTTATAACACATCATGGACATACATGCAAGAGGTGAAGGCTTTTTCTTTTTATTTGAGTTCCATATTGCTAGGTAGCTAGTGACAAGAGCTAGTTGAAAATATTTTGCTAGATCAGGATCAGGAAGATCTGTTTTGGCAGGATCAGGTACTGTACTGCAATACCAGGGAATACAGGTAGGTTAGGTATGAAGGCAGGGCTGAGGGGTATCTCAGGAGGGGCATCCTGTGTGCAGGGAAGAATTTGCAGGGCACAAGTAAGAAGACAATGGTCCCAAAATAACCACCGAATTCCAGTTCAAGGAAAGGGAGACCCGTACAAGGCTTTGAGAAAGGGCAGATCTGCAAACAATACTCTTGCCATATGTTTATGCAGGACTTGAACATCGATGTCGTAGAATCTGATTTAGTTACCTTAGTAGCACAATTAACACTGACCTGTTTGAATGTATATTAGGCTGGAATGAGATTATTATATTAGAATGAGGCTGGAGGGATTATTCTCAGGAAACAATGCTCAAAAGAGACATTTAAACTCCCTCTCCTTCAACTGTATCTGGTACTAATTTTTTTTTCTTAATTGTCACATTCAAGATTTTGGTTTAAAAATGAAAGTAGGTTGGAAACAAAGAGAGGGTTTTTTTCCTATTCCTAATAGTAACTTTCCTTCCTAAAGATGCCTCTCAAAGAAGTTGGTGGAGGACAAGAGAAATGTATGAGATTTCACATTTCAAATTTGTTTTACGATCCACCATGCAAATTATTGCTTGATCTATTGTGGCATTTAAACACTCCTTCAACTGTGTTAATAGGATCTGCAGTGGTATTTCAATTTTTCATTGCTATATGCCTTTTATTTCTTTCAGTTTCTTTTTTGTCTATTCTTTCATACTTGGCTTCCATGCTCTCCTTTTCTTGGTGTGAAGATCCACGAAATGTCTCGGTGGGATTAATTCCAGAAACAACAAACTTTCAGTGTCTGTCTGTGTTCATGGCAATTGATTAGAGTGGCTTTTTTCAACAAGATAAGTTGTCAAAGGCAGTTTTAAACTTGCACATTCTGCGATTTGTGATTACTCTTGCATGTTTCTAAACAATTTCAAACTTTTCCCCTTTCTATTCATAACTCATACCTTACAGCACAGTCATATGTTCTAAATCATTATTAGTCATTTCCTTTTTCCCGTTGTCCCTTCCAAAGAAACTTTGCCCAAATCAAACAAAAGAGTGGGAGAGAGAAAGTGGCTGCCAAGTTCTACTGTGTCTATGCAATGAACTACTGAACATTGGGGTCAGTGCAGAGATAAGCATCAGACAGTTTGCCCTAAGTAATGCTTATGTTATTACTTTATAAAATGTGTACTTTCTTTTCTCCACCTCTCCTTTCAACAGCATGAGAATAAGTGGATGTTTGCAGCTAGGGAAATAATTACTTTTCGTAAAGCTCTGATGAATCCCATCACAGCTCTTCAGTTTCAACACTTTGTAACCCTGAAAGGAGATTTACTGGGGAACGGAGTGATCTTCTGGCAGGAGGTACAGAAATACAAGGTACAGCACTGTTAAGGAATGGAAATAATGCAGTTACTCAGCGACCATGACATTTACATCTAAAGCTATGGTATTACTTTGGGACCATTTCAGAAAAGGAGGTCTAAAGGTGCTGACCCCTGGACTCTTTGTGGCTTGTCCTATTACTAGTAATAAGGACTAAGTAATTACTACTAAGCCAAATATTGAAATAAAACCTTGGTGATTACATGGATACACCCATGTAGTTTTTTTGACAAGCGTTGCCTGTTTTGTAAATGTGTTATGGTGTCTCATGCACTTATGAAAGGGGTGAAGCTTGTGCTGTGACAACACAACACTGCTTTTATCGTTTTAACACAAGCTTTGGATCCTGCTTCTTCAGTCTGTTTCACCATCTTTTCACCACTAAACTTATGGTGTCCACATGTACCATTGATTTCCTGATCCTGAACTGAAATTATAAGACACTCACAAGTGTTTGAACTAGATCAGTGAAGTCTGTAACATATTTTTGCATGGACTGCTTCCGCCTAGGGTTCTACTTAGTTAATCATATCTTTTTCTCAAACATCCCATCCCTTCCCCTCTGTCTAGTTTAGACCTCTGGAATTTCTTGGTACTCCTCTACTCAAATAGTAATCAGGTCTGATCTTGCTACTGAGTTTAGATGGCAGTCTGTAGGCTACTTATGCACTGTCATATTATGGTTGTCAGATTCAACACAGGATAGGGTACTGTGGATTTCTCCAAATAAGAGAAAGGATCTGGCAAGGAATTCTGCTCCATGCTGTAGCTGTACAAGTATAATATCCTAACTGTAATTCCTAACTGTGGCTAGAAGATTTGGAATATGCCATGTCCTCACCTGATCCCTCCCTCCCTCCCACGCCTCTTCCCTCCAGGGTTTACTTTAATCTTGGTATAGTTTTATAAAAGCATCTACATCGTGATAGTAAAATCTCACTATGATAAGACCTTGAACTGGAACCAATTTGAAATAGCTGCTAAGCATGTAATGGAATATTGGTTTGTTCTCTACTGTTTGCTGTACTCTTGACCTTCTAATCTAACCTTCCATCTTGCCTGCTTTGTTTATGCAGTGTATGTACCAATTTATAAACTTTTCATCTGGAGTCTTCTGTGTGAGGCCATCTTCTGTGCTAAGTTGATAGTTCAGAAGTTGTGCAAGTTCAGAAAATTGAGTTAATTGCTCATTGTTAAGTCATCCATAAGTAAGTGAATCATATGAACACATTCAAGTCTTTTGCTTAATTCTGTGATAACAGTCTTGAACTGTGTAATATGGCTGCTATTCAAATTTGTGATGTTGAACTCAGCTAAAAGCAAGGAGTATGTGCACAGTGCCTGGTGTAGTGTGATGAAAGTTCCAATTATCTTTTTAGGAAGTGTGCTGAAACTTCTCAATTCATCCATGCTGGTATAGAGTAAGGAAGATGACTTGACTGAAATATGCAAGAACTGTTACCTAGGCAAAGGGGGCTGAAACAATTTTTAAGCCTGGGAAATAAGATAATATTCAGAAGTGGCTAAGGCAGATAGCTCCCTGATTCACTGAAGTATAAGAAGATGGCGTGGGGAGGTACAGACATTCAAGATTCTGTTATACTAGCCAGTCTCAGTAAAGGTATTGAACTTTTACTGTGGTATTGAATTCCTGGCTGGTTTACCTAGTGGTACTGACAGCTGGCCAGCAGTTCCCTTGCCAGGAAGAAGAGACACAGTAGGAGTAATGGTGGTGGTGGTACTGGTGTGGTGGTGATGATCATAACAATAACAAAAATAATAATGGATATTGTTATTTTTAGTTCCCAAGGACCATTTAACCTAGTTACTAAAATGTTCTTTGCTTTTGGCCTTTGCTTGACTTGTGGTTCCTAGCTTCCTGCTCCTGTGTGAAAGCTACTTTATTTCTGGAACTGCCAGAATTGTAACATAACCTTGATGCACTTTTGCACAGCTTTTATTCTCTGTTTGAAACACTTTAAAAGTTAGAAAAGTGTGCTTCTCTCTCTCTCTCTCTCTCTCTCTCTCTCATTCATTCATTCATTCATTCATTCATTCATTCATTCAGTGTAGGTGCTGCCTAAGTCCAGATTGACTCTGGTGGTGCACAATACAAGATAATATAAAAATAATAATTTACCTAAAACAGTAAACAGATGGTGAATCTGGTCAATACCTAAAATAGATATCATACACCCAGCAAGGGCTCCAACCACCCTAGCCCAAAGCCTGGGAGAAGAGCCAGGTCTTTAAGGCCCTCTGGATTGCCATCAAGATAGGAGCTACTCCCATTTCAGAGGGGAACCTCATTCTAGAGGGCAGACGCCATGTCAGAGAAGGTATGCTTCCTCAGTCCTGAAAGCTTACACTGTTTAATTGAGTGCACCCACACTGTTGGTCCAAAGTGGCCAGTCAGATGCCACTGAAAACAGTCAATCCCTCAAATAACCAGGCCCTATACCATGCACAGCTTTACAGGTATCCAAGGGCAGCCCCATCTACAACACATTGAAATAATTGAGCTCTGAAGTGACTAGGGCATGAGTGACTATCTGAACGGCCTCCCAATCTAGGAAAGGGCCAACTGGCATACTGGCTGAAGCTGTGCAAAGGCCCTCCTGGCCACAGCTGCTGAATCCTGGCCTGAAGTCTGACTGAAACAGGTCTAGATAATCAGTTTCCTCCAGGGTTCTCATCAGCTGCTGTCTGACCACCTTTGTGTCAAGAAGGTTGGAGGCAGGACAAAAGTTGTCTAAAATGGTTGAGCCCAAAAATGGCCTCTTGAGGAGATGGCACACCATTGCCTCCTTCAAGGCTGGAGGAATGAACTATCCCCTCCCACAAGTGGACCAATTCCATGGCATGGATCCAACCAGGAGGGACCCAGGTCCAGTAAATAGGTGGCCAAACTAACAGCACAGAGAACCCTGTCCAGTTCCTCAGGAGTCAGCAGTTCAAAATCATCCCAGTTCAAAGGTTCATAGCAAGACTGGACCAAAGCTATGAGGATCAATAGTCCTGCCAGAAGAACCACATAGTAAATAATAAAAAATAAGGCTAAACAAAAAAATAATAATTAAGACTGAACCCCAGTTCCACTCAATGTTCAGGAGAGTGACTGGGAGCTGCTCTTCCTGACAATAGGTGATATGGGAAGGGAGTGGAAAGAATAGCTGGGAATCCATCAACTGCTGTTCTGAAACTTCCCTGCATTAAATTGCATGAGGGTGGTGACACTGCCAAGCCTCATTGCTGAGGCCCGATAACAGCAGGCCATAGGGGCAGTGCAATTTATGTCAATATGTTTTCCTCTGAACTCAAGGATGAGAGGAAAGCACAATAATGTGGCTATGAGGAAAAGCCCAGAAACAGGACAGGTGGATGAGAAGGGGTGGGGGATGGAGGAACTAGTGTGAATTCATCATCCTAGTTGTATCTTGATACTATTAAGTGTTATATTCAAACAGTTCATTAGTCATCGCACTGGAATGGTGGCAAATTCACCTATCTATCACATGCTTGCAGTTTGTAATATTTTTATCATTTAACACCAAGAGCATGCTTGGCACAAAATCAAGTTATAAAGTAGTTCATGGTACAGTATGGCTAAGTAACATGAAATGAGCAGACAAAAAAAAGAAGCTTTCTGAATGTTACTGAAGTACACATTGCCATCATCCCTCATTATTCATCATGTTGCCTAGGGCTGAAAGTTATAATCCATACATTTGGAAGGTCACATATTGGCCATTAGTACCCTAAAAGGTCTTCTCAAGAATAGATTCTCTGTCTCTCTTTCTCTCTCTCTCTCAACAATGATTGTTACAGAGCCAGTAAAAAAGGAGTAGAGAGTGAGATCTTCCCTTCTATAATTAGTTTGTATCTGATTTCTTGAAGAAACATTGAACCTGCCCACTTACTGAGATCTTTTTCTGAGATCTTCTTCAGGTTCCTGCCAAACTGAAGTAGGTGATGATGTCTGGGGAAGATTTTCACATTCTGGAGCTCTGATTCTGAAGTGATTCCCTGGGAAATTTCCTAGCACATGGCCTTTGGGAATCGTGTGAAGATCTTATTTGCCCAGACTTTTTATCACTATTTTTAATCTGGTCTTTTATTTTGTTATGTCCTATTACTGTTTTATTCATTTTTACATGAGGTATACATTTTGTTATTTCAAATTTTTGTAAAGCGAGTTGGTCTGAGAAATAGAACCTGAAGAGTGGCTAGGGAATTATATTTTAAACATAAATCAACCTAACTATCTAACTAAATTTGCATCAGCTTTCTTTGACCTGGTGTTTTCCAGATGTGTTGGGATGGCAGTTCCCAGAATTTCTAGTCAGCTGTTGGCCATGCAGATTGGGAATTATGGAAGTTGCAATCCTAGCACATCTGGAACTAATCAGGTTGAGGAAAACTGATTTACGTGTTGACTATGTAATTGTATATATACTCTGAATGTTTTGTTTCTTCATTTTCAGGACCTGTGCCATTCTCATTGTGATGATGCCATTATTCAGAATAAGATCACAACCATTATCAACTGCTTTATTAATTCAGCAATTCCACCTACTCTTCAGATTGACATACCTGAGGAGCAAGCCCAAAAGATCATTGAACACAGGAAAGAGCTAGGCCCATATGTGTTTAGAGAAGCACAGGTACATGAGTCAGCCTTGTGGGTAGACATGTCTGTTGTATAGATTGAGAATTGTTTTTATGAATGAACATGGTGGGCGCAAAGCTGTCCCTATTAAGGATTTTGGATTAACATAGTTCTGTATTAGGGCATTAAAGAATAAAAATGAAGAATAGGATCCAAGATATGCATAGAGTTTCCAACTGTGTACAGAAGATTTTGTCACATTCAAATATTTTTGAAACCACTTCTCACTTTGGCCCCTGGTGATTCCTGAGAAAGTACTCTAGAAAGTAGATGATCTTTCAGAGAGTTGTCCGATGCAGCCCCCAAGAATAAACTCTTGATAAGAAAAAGACTAGTGTCTTCTACTGCAGGTGTGTGTGTGCATGCATGCACATACAAAAGCACAGAGATCTGTAGATCTGTGCTGAATATATGTCAACAGTGCACAAGAGCAGTTTATCAAGTTTTTTCCCCCCAAAATTAGGATGCTATTGGATCCAATTGTACACTCCTGTTCCTATTCCCCTTTAAAAAATAAGTATAAACATAAGATGTAACAATCTGCTATGTAGACCAAATAAGGGAACTTGTAAAAAAATTACATTTACTGTTGACTACCAACTGTTATTAATTTTATGGTTCTGTTTTTAAAATGTATTTTAATAATTCCTCCCTCATTTCACCACCAAATACAACTGATTGTTGTCTGCTTTGACTATCCTTCACCTTTTAAAGATCAGTTAACAGAAGCCCATAACATTTACAGCATCACAAGAAGACAATAGCTAGGGAATCATCTGAGTTCATATAGGTTATGGGGTAGTTAAGACCAATTGTGTCAGTGAAAAATGCAATTTGGGTTTGGATGCAGTCTGGAATTCAGAAAAATCCATCCAAATAATGATAAATGTTTTAAAGGACTAGTAGCACTAGTATATGGTAAAGAATAGTGGATACTGCCAGGGGCATCCACAGTGATGGTCACAGGCTTCAAAATGGTAGACCCAGCCAGGCAATCAAAGCCCCACCCCTTCTTATTTGCATGTTATTATTGGATTTATAAGGCTGCCCATCTCAAAGACATGACTCTGGGTGGCTAACAATATTAAAAATAAAACCACAAACATAATATCACATAAAAACACATAGCAGCTGATCTAAATTAAAAAAAAACATACAATCAACACAATCAGGAAATGGGCTCCACCGCACACCTGGGACCCCAGGCTTGAGCACAGAACCACGTCTTCAGGGCCTTGCAGATGATATTCCAGAGGGTGGGCACCATGGTAGGAAAGGCTTTCCTCCTGGGCTCTGCCAAATGACATTCTTTATGGGACCTGGAACATGCCTTCCTGCTGGACTGAATGGGACGGGTAGTAAAAAACAGGGAGAGACGGTCCTGTAAGTAACCAGCCCAAAGCCATGAAGGGCTTTAAAGGACTACCAGCACTTGAATTGTACCCAGAAGCATAATGGTAGCCAATACAGCTTGCAGAGCAGAGGCATCACATGCACCAAACAACAGGCACCCTTAACTGCCCATGCCACTGCTTTCTGTGCCAGCTAAAGCTTCTGAATGCTCTACAAGGGCAGCCCCACATAGAGACATTGTAGTAGTAATGCATGTGATGCATGTTAAAAAAAGGGTGGGGGGACTTTGATCATCTAGTTGATCCTGCCATTTTGAAGCCAGAGAATAATGGAGGTCTATGCCCCTAGATCAGTGATGGCGAACCTTTTGGGCTTGGTGTGTCAAATATTCAGAAAATGTCTAACTTGACACTGCTGACATGTCACCCCCCCTTCCCCGAACAAAAGAGAAACAATTCTTTACATATGCATTTATTTTTTTAAAAAAATACAGTCCAATCC